TCTCGGCCGGCTCCGTCCGCGCCGCCCTGCCGGGGCCTCCCGCCGCCGAGGCCAGGCCCGAGCGCAGGTGAGAGCCCGGGCCGCACGGCCCACGCTGCGGGGCTTGCCCCGGCCTCGCGCCGTGTCCAGCGCCCGGGAAAACCTGGTTCTTATATGCATTCTCGTGCCCGCCTTTGACCATTTAAACTTCTAGCTTAATTGCTATTTCTTATACCTGCGTGAGGAAACCTTATTCTTTTAGGATTGCGAGTTAACCCATTGAAAAAAACAGCATTCTGGAAATTGTTTATTTGCTGGAAAAAATCTCTATTACTTCAGGTCCATGTATTAAATTGTAGGAGCTTCTCACTCCCTGGTTTAACTGATTTAGATAGAAAAGAATCCATCTTATTATTTAAAAATGCCACTTAAGATAGAAGATTTCACATGCAAATAGCCATTGGTGACATTGTGGTACTAATGTATTTAAAATAATGAACAAGTAAGAGAAAAAACTACAGGTCAGCGCATATTAAATAGTAATTTTTCATGCTTTTTTTTTTGTGTGTGGGGGATTTAGATATGTAATGATAGCTTTAATTAAAAATCAAAGGGCCGGCCCCGTGGCTCACTCGGGAGCAGCGCTCGTAGCGCTGAGGCCGCGGGTTCGGATCCTATATAGAGATGGCAGCTGCGCTCAGGTGCAGACAACACTGAGGGTTGCGATCCCCCTACGGCCAATAAAAAAAAAAAAAAAAAGGATCAGTCAATGAATAAATTATTTGGCTCCCAGCTATGAATTGCAGTTCTTATTCTTAGGTGTTGGGCAGTATAGAACAATGTTGTATATGTATTTTATATATAGATATATTATGATTTAAAAGACATTCTTGAACAAAATCATAATGTCGGTCATTTTTCTTTAGCTTCTCAGCTTTTTTACTTTCAAGATTGATTAGGTTACTTGTCAATAGTTCACTATTGAAAGATCATTCAGCAACAAAACATATTTTCTGTTTTATTTCAGACAAACACGCTCTGATCTGGGGACCAGATGCCAACTTAGAGCCTTTGTACCAGTCTCAGTCCTCCAGTAGCATTCTTTAAAAGGTGAGGTGACTCAGTGATTCTCCTGGAAACAAGGGCTCCCAAGACTCTTTCTCTCTCTTTCTCTTTCGGATTTAGACCCAAAAGGATGTCCTTGTTATAGGCATTGTTAGCTTTTTGGGTTGTGTGTGTGTGAGTGTGTTCTTATTTTGTGTGAGTTTCCTGAGGTCACACAGCTGGGAAGTGACACAGCTGGGGCATAGACTTCCCAGCTGCCTGGATCCTCAGGATCTAGGGGATAATCCAGGAACTACCTTGCCTTTCTGTATGCTTCTCTTTGAAAAGAGATGCTTTCTCCAAAGAAAGCTCACGGGAGGATTTACTTTTATGTGCACTATTTCTACCAGTCCCCATGGCCTCCGGGAGGCAGGTGCCATGGTCGTGAGATACAGGGAGGGCAGGTGGCCTGTGTGTGGCTGCCCGGCAGAGCCCGGCGTGAGTTCTCTTCATCCCGGTGTAGCTGCTGCTCCGTGGGCGGGTGTTCCCGGCATGCAGGACGGNCTTATACCTGCGTGAGGAAACCTTATTCTTTTAGGATTGCGAGTTAACCCATTGAAAAAAAACAGCATTCTGGAAATTATTTATTTGCTGGAAAAATCTCTATTACTTCAGGTCCATGTATTAAATTGTAGGAGCCTTTCACTCCCTGGTTTAACTGATTTAGATAGAAAAGAATCCATCTTATTATTTAAAAATGCCACTTAAGATGGAAGATTTCACATGCAAATGGCCATTGATGACATTGTGGTACTAATGTATTTAAAATAATGAACAAGTAAAAGAAAAAACTACAGGTCAGCGCATATTAAATAGTATTTTTTCATGTTTTTTTTTTGTGTGGGGGGGATTTAGATATGTAATGATAGCTTTAATTAAAAATCAGTCAATGAGGGCCGGCCCCGTGGCTCACTCGGGAGAGTGCGGCGCTCGTAGTGCTGAGGCCGCGGGTTCGGATCCTATATAGAGATGGCAGCTGCGCTCAGGTGCAGACAGCACCCTGCCGAGGGTTGCGATCCCCTTACCGGTCAATAAAAAAAAAAAAAAAAAAAAAGACAGTAAATGAATAAATTATTTGGCTCCC